CACTCTGGCTGCTGGGTTAAAAAGAGACTGTAGAAGGCAAGTGCAATAGCAGGGGGCCAGTGAGAGAGGGGGTAATGGTGGGATGTGACAGAAAAAGGAGTAAAAAATGGCCTTAGATTTTCAGTCCAAGAACTGGAAGTTGCCATTTTCTGTGGGAGGAGCAATTCCATTAAGAATTCAGCTTTGGCCCTGGCCTGGTAGCTTGGTAGGAGCAATGGGCTGACGGGTTGGGGCACAAGTGGAATCAACCAGTGGGTGGTATGTGGGTAGAGTGACAAATTGATGTTTCTCTCTCTCTCTCTTTCCCTCTCTCTCTCTCTGAAACCAGTGAGAGGAAAAGGGAAAAAAAGGCATGGGAGCACTATTAGAATGGGAGAAAATTTTGCAAATCACATATATGATAAAGGACACGTATCTAGAATATATAAAGACCTCTCAGAACTCAACAGTAATTTTTTTCAAATAATACAGTTAAAAATGGGCAGAGGACTGATTTGAACGGACCTTTCCCCAAAGATACAGATGGGCCAAAAAATACATGAAAAGATATTCAACATCATTCAGCCCCCAAGAAATCAAAATCAAAATCAAAATCACAAGGAGATACAACTTCATACCCACTAAAATGGCTATAATCAAAATGACAGATAATTATTTGTGTTGGTGAGGATGTACAGAAATCATAACTCTCACACCCTGCTGGTGAGAATGTAAAATGGTTCAGCTGCTTTGAAAAAAAGTCTCAAATGGTTAAACATAAAGTTCCCTTATGACTAGCAATTCTACTCCTAGGTACAAATCCAAGAGAAATGAAAACACATACCCCCACAAAAACGTATACATGGATAACACCCAAAGAGAGCCCTAATGTAAGCTCTGACTCTGGGTGATTATGAGGAGTCAATGAAAGTTCATCAGCTGTAACAAGTGGGCCACTCTGGGAGGGTTTCGTTGACAATGGGGGAGACTATGCAATATGCGGGAGCAGAAGCTATAAGGAAAATCTCTGGACCTTCCTCTTAATTTTGCTGTGAGTCTAAAACTGCTCTAAAAAGAGTTTAAAGAAACTTGTACATTAATATTCGTAACAGCACCCATAATAGTAGAAGAGTGGAAACATCCCATATGTCCATTAACTAGTGAATGGATAACTAAAATGTGTTATATCCATGTATCCAGGGAATAGTTTTTGGCGATAAAGAAAAAATAGTCCTGACTGGTGTGACTCAGTGGATTGAGCACTGGCCTGTGAACCAAAGGGTTACAGTTCGATTCCCAGTCAGGGCACATGCCTGGGTTGTGGGCCAGGTCCCCAGTGGGGGCGCACGGGAGAGGCAACCACACAGTGATGTTTCTTTCCCTCTCTCCCTCCCTTCCCTCTCTCTAAAAATGAGTAAATAAAATTTTAAAGAAAACAATAATACATGCTACAACACAGATGAACCTTGAAAACACTATGCTAATTTAAAAAAGCAAATCACAAAGACCATATAGTATATGGTTCCATTTATATGAAAAGTCCAGAATAGGCCAATCTATATAGAAATAGAAAATAGTTTAGTGGTTGCCTAGACTATGAGCTGCAGGGATTAGGGGAAAATAGGGAGTGATTGCCTGCTCAAAGGTATAGGGTTTCCTTCGGGGCTAATGGAAGTGTTCTGAAATTCATTATGGTACTTGTTGAATAACTCTGTGAGCATACAAATCAGTATTGAGTTGTACGCTTTATATGGGTGAAGTGAGAGACTGCTCCTATGTCAAAAAATTAGTGCCCAGTGCGATTCCAGGCTCTTGTTTGGCATCCCAAAGCTGAGGAGGGGCCAATGTAGGCACCAAGACTCTTCCCAGAACGCTCTCCCTTCCCACTACCTCAAATCATAGAAGGTGTGAATGGAAGAGCCTGACTCCTATTTCACTCCCATTTTACAGAATAGAAAACTGAGGTCCAATAGGGAAAGTGACTCACCTCTACGTCACTGAGACTCAACTATCATAGAGATGAAGTTCCCTTTTAAAATCAATCAAAGTCAGAAATAATATGGGAAATTTGTACATGGTAAAAGACTCATGTATAACATTTGAAAGCCAGTTGGACTCTTTAGGGTGCATCCCAGCCTCCATTGCTTCCCTCCATTCACCAGGACGATTAAGGTTTGGTTTTGGTGAAAATGAGAAACTCTATTGAGCATACCTCTTCTCTTTCAGTAAACCCTATCTCTTTACCCCCTCCCCTTTTTCCTCTATCCTCTTCATACATCCCCAAGTCACCCCCACCCCCATCATAATGATGTTTGCCCAGATCCTGTGACTGGGCAAACATGGGACCAATTAGCTTTGGGAATAGAAGTGCCTACAGAAGGGTGATTCACAGTACATGAATTTTCTAATTGCTCTTCCTGGCACAGACAGAAGGAAGGAGAGAAGAAAAGAGATCTAAGTTTCCTTCCTTAGAGAACCTGATTCAATCGTGTGGACTGAGCACAGCACCAGGCCACCCTTACAAGGCCCTGCCCCTGCATAGTTCCAGCCCCAGCCAGTCTCCCTGGGAAAATCCCTTCTGCTTCCTGGACCCCAGGTTTCCCATCTATAAAGTGCAGAGTGAACAAAATGATTGTCAAAAGACCTCCCAGCTTGAGCCTTCAGGGTTCTAGGAATGTGTGGCTTAGCACCTTCTCTGCTGCCCTGTCTAGAAACAAGCATGCAGAGAGATAGGGTAGAAGTGGATCCAGCAGACTCAATGGAAACGTCACCTCATTAGGAGGACTTCCATGATTACATCATCTAATGATCAGATGTCTCCAATTCTCTTTCTCACTCAGCATATCTCCTTTTCATACTCACATACACACATGGTTGCTCCCTCTCCCATTATCCTGTTTTATTTTCTTCTTAGCACTACCTGAAACGTCTTATATACTTGTTTACTTGACTATTGTCTTTCTACACTACAACGTTAGTTCTAAAGGTCAGGAATCTTGCTTTTCATAGCTCTGGGCCTAGTCCAGTACCTGGTATACAGTAAGTGCTTAGTATATATGTGTTGTCTAATGTTTGAATGGATAAATGAATGAATGAATGGATCTGTGGGTGGTACCAGAGCTGCGCCAAGCATGGCTGTGATCTGTACCAACTCTTCCATGAGGAGCAGCTGAGAAATAGGACTCTGGAGTCAGGAGACCTGGATTTGAGTCCCAAACTGCCAATTAGTGGTTGTATCACCTTAGGCATTTCACTTGACCTCTCTAAGCCTTGATTTCTTCATCTATAATAAATTGAGGATAATGATCCCACATTGCAAGATGTATTTTTAGGAATTAGAAGTGATGTATATAAAGTGATCTGGTCATAGCAGGTATCTAGTAAATGTTAATTCCCTTTCTCTTCCTTCCTCTGAGGCATAGAGGTCAAGGGTTTGGAGATTGTGGACTCAGCCAAGAGGTCACTTATCTATTTCTCATCTTTCAGGAGAAGGTAAAACAAAATTTCAAGCAACTTAGCCTAGGACAGCACAAGGGACTTGGCCAAAGTCATACAACCAGGCAGTGAAGTAAGCAGCAGGTCCCCTTTCTGGGGGACAGAGGAAGCCCCTGATCCCAAACGAGATGGAGAAAGAGGACTGGGCAGGATCTCGCTTGTGCTGGACCTCCAGAAAGTGGCTGCTCTAGTCTGAGAGTCAGCCTGCAGGGTTCTAGTCCTGTGTTTGTCAGAGTCAAGCTGGTGACTTTGGGATATAGGGCACTATTTCCAGTCTCAATTTCTTTCTGTGCATTGGGCATATTACTCCTTGCCCAGCCTGCCTTACAGAATGGGAGTGTTAGGAGAATGATATTTAATTTGATATATTGTTAGAAGCATGACATTTCACTTAAGAGAAAATATTGTAGTGATGAATCACAGACTCAATTTCTAAAATTTTGCCACAAGAACATATATTAAAATTCAGAAAAAAAAAGATTAAAAGTAATAATAAACTGCATCCCTCTGGGCTCTGTAAAGTGGAAAACAAAAACTTGTAAACATATTATTTCAATAGAACATATGAAAATCTTTGGCCATCTCTAAATAAATCAAATTAAAAAAATATTTACTGAGCACCTTCTTTGGGATGGATAAGGAAACTCACTCAGAGGGGTTTAGTGACTTGCCTAACGGCACACAGGACCTGAGAAGGCTGAGAAAAGGCTGGCAGGAAAGATTTCCACCAGCCACCCAGGAAGCCCCTGACAGACAGGGCTGCAGAAGGGCCTGAGACGCTGGGTTAGGAAGACCAAGCCCCCCTGGGTCTGTGCAAGTTTAGTGGAATGAGCAGGCGCCCACAGATTCTATGGTCCAGGGTCAGCACTGGGGACAACCTGGAGGGAGTCACGGGCATCCCTCTCTGAGCAGGTTTCCCCTTCTCTGAACATGAACCTTAAGGCTGGCCAGCCTGTCAAGGGACAATCAAGAGAGCACGTTAAAAAGTCTCTACCTCGGTACACTGAGTTTGTTACCTTTCTTCACCTCTGGAAGATTGCGGGAAAGCAGGAGCGCTATGTGGAGTTGAACAAGTGGCAGTCTCCCTGGGCTTCTGAAAACAGTGGATGACTAGGACCAGGCCAGGTGTTTCTAAATTCCTTCCAGCACCAAAAACAAACAAACAAAATACACCCCGAAATTTCTTAGTGGTTCGACTCCGCTGCGAACTCCACTGAGAGATCACCTCCCTCCCGTCAGCCCTGAGAAAGCGCAATCCCTTTAAGTCCGGGCCTGCTTGGCCTGGGCCAATCACCGGGAACAAAAGTTCGTTAAGAGCCAAAGAGGGAGTTTAGTCGAGGAGGGGGCGGGGCAGGGGCGTGCCTCTCAGCTAATCAGAATTTCCCTGACGCTGCTGGCCAATGGCAGGGTTGCCGAGAGGCGGGGCAGCTCCAGCTGTCTGACAGTTGCCGGTACCAATGGGCATGCCGCCCGCGGCCTATAAAAGTCCTCTGGGCCCGAAGCGACAAGCTTTAGGGTCGGTAGGTCGTCGCCGTCGAAGGTGTGCCCTAGGATTGCCTCCCGGTCGCTGCCGTCCAGTCCCTGCAGCCGCGCCCCCCCACCTCGGCTCCCGCCCAGCCGCTCTCCCTGCCCTCCTCCCCTTAACCACCCGCGGTTTTTGCTGTCGGGGCCCCGGGACAGGGTTAACGATGCCGTCGGAGAGCGGAGCTGAGAGCCGGGACCCGGCGGCTGCTCAGGTTGGGACGACTGCGGCCTCGGCGGTGGCCATGGCCTCCCAGACGAGCGGCGGCCCCGGCCCGGAAGCCTCTTCGGCTTCCCTCGGACGGCACCTGAGTGGGCTGAGCTGGCCACAGGTGAAGCGGCTGGACGCGCTCCTGAGCGAGCCGATTCCAATTCACGGGCGCGGCAACTTCCCTACGCTGAGCGTGCAGCCGGGGCAGATCGTGCAGGTGAGAGGGCGCGGGGTGACGGGAATGGGGTCTCTAACCTGAGGCTCTTCTGGCTGGAAGGACCCCGGAGTCTGCTCAATTCGCTGGGCAGCTATGGAAAATCAGGGTCCGAGAGCGACAGAGGCTGAAACAAAAAGGCACAGCACTGATGGTAGACTATATCCCCTTCCCCCTGCACCTCATAATACCTCCCCTCTTGGCTTTCCCTCCCCCCCGCCCCTGGGGAGCCCCGATTCCCCTCGAAGTTCACCCAGGCTCTGGCTTGGAAGGGAGCAGAATGAGGAGAGACTTGGCAGCTGGGAAAGAACAGTCCCGCCTGCAAGGACTAAAGGTGCCAGGCAGTTCTGGGTGGGTGGGTGTGCCTTCTTGGGTCCAAAATAGTTCTTTTCATTTCCAAATCGCCACTCCTGGGCCTCAATGCCACACTCTCCCTCGCTCAAGGTTCTGGGGGCAGACTCTGTCCTGTGCTCCCACAGCCCTTGAATCAAGAGCCCCTTAGCTACGTGGAAGAGCCAAGAAATCCTGACAAAGAACTCCCTCTTAGCTGGGGTTGTGGCCAGGGGGGATTAAGCACCAGGCTAGACCCAATGCCCACATGCTGGAAGGCAACCTCAGGTGTCCAGTTTAGGTGTTTCTTCTCCTCCCCAAATTGGAAATGAAAGTCAGACCAGGTCCCAAGCCCCATTTGTGTCCTGAGGAGCAGGAGAAGAGAATTCTGGCAACCCCCCTCCTCTTCCCCAGACTCCCTCTTCCCTTTACCTGACCTTCAGCAACCCTAAAATTGCTCTTTCATGTGTACAGCCCATGTACTGTCATTCTCTGACATACTAGACTATGGTAATTGTTGTACCCATTTTATAGCTGGGGAAGCTAAGGCCCCCAAAGGGGAAGTGAGCTGCCTAAGACGACCTACGGAAGTGAAAATCGAATGCAGAGAATCTTGGGTCTTCCAGGAGCTGCTTCCACCCCTTCCCCAGCTCCCGGTACTCAACTTCTAAGTCTTATGAGACGTCTTCTGATGGGAAGAAACCAGAAATCAGCCACAATTCCTGCACTTTCGTACCAGAGATGGACTTTCTTTCTCCAGCAGTAGCCGACAAGCTAGGTTAAGCCTTAGCTTCTACAGAGAGGGAGGGGTGCTCATTGGGGGACTTGCCTTGCCCTCCCTCCCAAGGAATGGGAGGGGGTGGGGGTAGATTCTCCAGGGCTGACTCACCTGCAGCTCAGTGGCACCTCACAGAGGCATTCCTCGACTAAGCTGCTGCCCGCTGTCACGGAGTAATTAGGAAACCATTTGAGGCTTTTCTCCCCGACACAGTCAGGTCAACTTTGGACGCCAACTGCTGTACTTCCAGGACTGTTGTCCCAGGCATGGGGGAGGGAGTAGAGGAGCCCAGTGTGGCAGCTCCCCTCTGCAAGGACAAGGAGTGCCCTGGAAGAGAAGTACCTGCCCTTGTCAATACGGTCCAAGCTGCCTTTACTAGTGCTACTCTGTGCCAAGCCCTCTTCATAGATATGACTGGTACCCAGACTTTCTGCTTTCCAGGTCCTCCCAGCCAGGTGGGGGAGACTGCAGGTCAACAGGAGTTGCCTTTACAATGCGATAATAGTACAATATCCTCCTAGACAAAGACCAGAGACATCATAGAACAGCAAGCTGCCCGCTGTGGTGAGGAGGGGCAGCAGAGACTTCGGAGCTGGCCTGGGAGGTTTGGGACCTGTACTGTTGTCTATTCCCTTGGCTGGGCCCAGTGTCCCCATCTGTTCAATGGGGATGGGTTGGACTGCTCTCCAACACCCTTTCTGGTTCCAGAATCCAAAGGGAACAGGTGCCTTCACCTGGCCTGTGCACTTGCATCCACAAGGGAGAAAGTCCATTTCCTGGCAGGAATCTGCAGCTGGCAGCTTCACAAGCTGGTGGGAAATTCATGGTGCAGGTGCTGGGGGTATGTGGTGTAGGTGCTGGCTGTTAACTTTGGCCTTCTCACCAGTGCTGAGTTGCCCCACAGTTCAAGAATTGGAATCTTTCTCCCTCTTTTCCCTACAAGGGTTTCACCTACAGTAGAAATTTAAGCACCTAGAGATGCTCTTCTTGCTTGTACCTGGACTAGGGGGACCCACTCTTTTGTAGGAAGCCCCCTGCAGTCTTGGAGGCCTGGTTGTAATTAAGCTCAGCCATAAATTGGCTTTGTGACCTTGGATAAGTCCTTTGCCCAAGATCACAATCTTATCTCTCCAGCTGCAGCCAGAGGGCTTGCATTAGGTGGGTTTGAAGTTTTATTAGCCTGCTGTCTGGTGGCACCTCCAGTCTCCCTTCAGGTCTCAGCAGTGGCCTGGGAGCAGAGTGGTTCCAGGGAAGGCCCTTGCACAGGAGAGACGAGGGTGCCGCCACTGCCCCCTCAATGGCTGGCAAGTCTGATTCAGGAGGCTCCAAGCTGCCCTGCAGTCTTTGGGTGTGGCAGTATCTGGGGACTGTCTGCCAAGCTGGCTGTAGTCACACCTGGGAAAGAGACAACAGCCTCTGTCTGGCTGACATAGCTGGCCCCATGGCCTGACGCAGGCAATTTAACAAGGGTACTGCTACCTACTCACCAGGCCAGATGCCATGCCCTGGGGGCAGGGTGCCATCAGCCTGGGAGCAGGAGTTGGCACTGAGTAAGGCTTAGCTTTAATGATACTTGGGAAGGAGGCTGGTCTGCTCTGCAGGGCTGACCAGGTCTTTGAAACAAGGTCTTTGGCCCATCTCTTTCCTTGGTCTACATGGACATACCTGCCAGGGTATGTGTTAGAAGTCCCACCGGCTGGACTGCATCAGCTGGCCCCTTACCTCCAGCCTCCCCTCTCTGTCGAGTCAAGTCATTCTCCCAACACTCACCTTCCTTTTCCCCAACTATTCTGGCTGTGGGCTTTAGTGACTGGAAGATTTAGCCTCACTTTGAAACTTTGAGAGGGAGGGAGGATGAACCCTACGTTCTGGTCTCTGCTCCCCCTCAACGTTGGAATGGCAATGTGGTAAAAAGGAGACAGACTTTGGAGGCAATCAGACCTGAATTTGAAGATATATGACTTCAAATGACCTTGGGCATGTGACTTCACTCCTGGGAGCCTCCGGGTCCCCCTCTATAACTTGGAGATCATAAAGGCCTATCCCCTGTAGTTTCTGGTGAGAAGGTCCGGTGCCTGGCCCCCAATAGGTACCTAACCAATATTCTTCTACCCCTCCCCCAGCCACCCCCTTGCCCTTGCAAAATTCTGATGGCCAGTCACTCACCCCCCCAGAGCCATAATAATACCTTCCCGAAAGTCAAGGTCCTCCTCCCGGAAGCTTTTCTGGAGGGACCCGCCCGCCTCAGATTGCCCCACTGCGGCTTGCCTTCTCAGCACTTAGGTGCATTCTTTGCAGTCATTCCCTGGGAGGTGAGGAGGGCAGCCCCTCCACAGGCGAGCTGACTTGGCAGCACGGGTTGCAGAATCACTCGGGGAAGGAATGCTGCCTGGTCACTTTCAGGACAGTGTGCGAAGCACTCTGAATTGCTGAGAAAACTGTTCAGCCAGGCTCTCCTCTTCTCTCCACCTGGCTCTAGGCCTGGGAAGACATCCCTGGCTAGAGGAGCAGGTTCAAGAAGACTTGTAGGTTTACCGGTCATATGCTCCTGTGGCAGCAGGTGGGATCTGCTACATCTCTTCCCACCTGGTGTGGGAAGTTTCCTGAGAGCTTGACCCATCCCCTCTCCCAAGAGTGGAAATGGTCTGGGTTTTAACTCTAGCCCTAGCATTTCTGAATAGCTTCTCGGAGCCTTAGATATCTCGCCACAGTAAGCCTCAGTTTCCTCATCTGTAAAATGAGTATAATGTTTGCCTCATTGTATCTTTGTAAAGACGAATGAGTATCTCACAGTCAAAAGAACGTGCCTGCACTTGAGAATCCAACTGACCTGAGTTCTGCTCTCAGTTGGTCACCGTCTCAGCCTCAGCGTGGTTGTGTGTAACCTCTCTGTGCCTCAGATCCCCCATCTATAAATTGGGATTATAGTACTCAAACATAGGGTAATAGTGATAGTACATAGGGATAATAGTTACCTGCCTTACAGGGTTATTGTGAGAATTATGTGAATTTATATCCTAACATATAAAATGCTGAGAACAGTACCTGGCTTTTAGTAAATTCTATGCTTGTGTGTGTTACCATTATTGCTGTGCTTTCTGAGGCTTTCCTCCAATAGGCCTCTCCCTAGCTCAGGAAATCAATGCTTAGAGAGTTAAAAGTTTTTCCAAAAGCACGACAGCTGGTAAGTGGTCAACAGTGGTTGATGCTACTGTCACTATTAGATTCAAAGCCCAGAGTGGGCCTCAGGGACCCAGGCTCTTGATACCTCTCCTTCCTGCTGTCCCCTCCGCAGGTTGTCCGCAGCAGCCTGGAGGCACAGGGGCTGCGCGTGCATAGTGTGCGGCTACACGGCTCAGCGGCCAGCCATGTACTGCACCCCGAGAATGGCCTGGGCTATAAAGATCTGGACCTAGTATTCCGTGTGGACCTGCGCAGTGAGGCCTCCTTCCAGCTGACCAAGGAGGTCGTGCTGGCCTGCTTGCTGGACTTCCTGCCCGCTGGTGTGAGCCGGGCCAAGATCACGCCACTGACACTCAAGGAGGCATACGTGCAGAAGCTGGTGAAGGTGTGCACAGACACGGACCGCTGGAGCCTCATCTCACTATCCAACAAGAGTGGCAAGAATGTGGAGCTCAAATTTGTGGACTCAGTCAGGCGCCAGTTCGAGTTCAGTGTAGACTCCTTCCAGATCATCCTGGACTCCCTGCTGCTCTTCGGCCAGTGCTCATCCACGCCCATGTCTGAGGCCTTCCATCCATCTGTGACAGGTGAGAGCCTGTACGGGGACTTCAACGAAGCCCTGGAGCACCTGCGGCACAGAGTCATCGCCACTCGAAACCCCGAAGAGATCCGCGGTGGTGGCCTCCTCAAGTACTGCCACCTCCTGGTGCGTGGCTTCCGGCCACAGCCCAGCACGGATGTGCGTGCCCTGCAACGCTACATGTGCTCCCGCTTCTTCATCGACTTCCCAGACCTGGTAGAGCAGCAGCGCACACTGGAGCGCTACCTGGAGGCCCACTTCAGCGGGGCCGACTCAGCCCGCCGCTATGCCTGCCTGGTGACGCTGCACCAGGTGGTCAATGAAAGCACCGTGTGCCTCATGAACCATGAGCGCCGCCAGACGCTGGACCTCATCGCCACCATGGCGCTCCAGGCGCTAGCTGAGCAGGGCCCAGCTGCTGCTGCTGCTCTGGCCTGGCGCCCTCCAGGCCCCAATGGAGTTGTGCCTCCCACTGTCAACTACTATGTGACCCCGGTGCAGCCTCTGCTGGCCCGGGCCCACTCCTGCTACCCCACCTGGCTGCCTTGTAACTGACTCAGACCCTGGCCAGAAGTGACTGGGCCTCCCCAGATGGAGTGGGGTCTCCAGAAGTGTGTGGAGGGCATGACCAGAGACAGGCAGCCTATGCCAGGTGGCCCAGCACTGCTGCAGGGTTGGGCCTCCAACTGAACAGACCAGACTCCCTGAGTGAGGCCCCTGTGGGCATTAAGGCCAAGCCGGGGTTGTTGGCAGACGGACCCTTTGCCTATTGCAGCACACTTAGATCAGCACGACTGTGGGGTACAAGAACTTTTCATCTTGGGGGTAATTTCCCTTAGGAGACAAAGTTTGTGTGGGGTGGTAGCCTCAGTGTTCATCATCTTGAGTTGCTTTCTGTGGCCTAGAAAGGGTCTTTTTGGCTAGGGCCAGCCTGCAGTGAGCCAGCGTCCTCTGAGGGCCTGCAGCCCATACAATGACTGAAATATGGTACATTATAGGAACTAGTCACTTTGGGTCAGGCTGAACCTGGTGGTCCAACCTGGCTAATCAATGGAGGGAGGGAAAGTGAGGCATGAGACGGACACCTGGAGAGGGCTATGTCAGGCCCTCTATGTCAGGGGTGTCCCCTGACACCCCTAACCTCAGCCATCCAGCAGTGTGGTGAGTAGGCCCCAAGTGGCCTGGGCTCCTTCCCCCATGTCATGAGGAACCTTCCTACCCGGGAGCCTGTTCTTAGGGGGAAGACCAAAGTGGCCCCATTCAAGTGTTCCCACTCCATTGGTTTGGTTACAGGGTCCTCACTTGGGGGAGGAGAGACACACTCCACCTCCTGTTACTATTTTGCACTCTTAACACCTGCCAATAAAAATTGTCTACACTGAGCCTAGTGCCATGTTTTCTCCTGGGAGAAGGATCTTTCATGACAGGGCCATGGCTGCCTCCCCCAGCCTGAGTCTGGCTTATGTTGTGGGAGGGGACAACGCAGGGTGGGGATCTGAGTCCTGGGCTGTGGCTGATGAAATGCCCCTTCCCCTCAGCACTAGCCCCAGCTTGACAGCTGTGCTGGAGCTCAGGTCTACATACATAACTTGCACCTGCACATTGCCTCAGCAATTCTTATGTTCAAGAGTAAATATTTCAGCCCTAACCAGTGTGGCTTATTTGGTTGGGCATTGTCCTGCAAAGTGAGAGGTCATCTGATTCCAGGTCAGGGCACAGGGCTGTGGGTTCAGTTCCCAGTTCGGTTCCCAGTTGGGGCATGAGTGAGAGGCAACCTATCAATGGTTCTCTGTTTCTCCCTCCCTTCCCTTCTCTCTAAAAAAATAGCAAATATTTCAGTGGTTCCAACCTAGAGTCCAAGTGACCCTGGACCTGGCCTCACACTGGCTGCTTGACTCCATCTCTGCCCATCCTACCCAACCCTTTCCAGGAAGCAGGTGGAGGACAAGTGGGGTGAATCCAGACTGGAGACTCCTCCAGTAGTGGCAACTAAGACAGAGATTTCTGGGGCCCCATGGCCAGAGCCCAAGCCCGGTTTGGCCTCCCTATCTGGGAGAGGTTCCCTCAATCCTCTGGCTCTCTCTGTCACCCCCAAGTGCCAGTGGGGACATTCCATCCGGTTCTCAGCAGGTTCCCTAGAGGGCCAGGTCTCTCCTTTCCAGACCCACATGGGGCCATATCAGGCTGTGGGGACTGAACTCAAGCCCACAGGGAGCTGTTCCCTCAGGGCATCATCTAGTCATGGTCCTGGTTGCTTCCCTGCCTGCTGTTTACCAGGTCGCTTTGATCCAGGGATTACAAAGCTCTTGACATATTCAGCCTCATTAGTGTCTTCTGAAGTGGTGGCTTTGATGGTTTCAGCCAGGGTGAGAAAAACAAGGCCACAGCAGAGGCCCCCCCAGGTCACCTGAATGAGTCCAGCCGCCTCACCTGCTCAGTGGGTCCCTGCTGGGTTCAAAATGGCTAGAAGGGTGATGGAAAGGCTTTCTTTGCTTAGTGACTGAAAATAGTCCCCACCTTCACTCTGAGTGTGTCCTCTCAACTGGGGTCCTGGGAGGGACTGAGTTTGTCCCAGCTTCTGGTTTGGGCACAGAGGATGCTCACAGTGCAAGCATACATGTTTAACTTGTTAGGGTAGGCAGAGGGCTTCACCTGGGCGTGCTTGTTTCGGAAGGTGAGAAAGCCAGGAACCTATGGTACACATGTGTATGTACCTACATTCAGCCCATGGGGAGCCAGCTACCCTTGTAGTGGTCAGGAATATGTCAGCAAGACCAAGACCAAGACTCCTACCCTCTTAAAGTTGATATTCTAATGGGGTAGACAGAAATCAAATTATATAGTCTTAAGTCAGTGATGCTCAAAAATATATTGATACATAGCAGAGTAAGGGATTGGAATAGCTGGAGTTTATGATTTTTAAAAAGATTTTATTTTTATTTTTAGACAGAGGGGAAGAGAAGGAGAAGGAGAGAAACATCAATGTGTGGTTGCCTCTAGCACTCCCCGTACTGGGGACCTGGCCCATAACCCAGGCATATGCCCTGACTGGGAATCAAACCAGCAACCCTTTGCTTTGCAGGTCACTCCTCAATCCATTGAGCCACACCAGCCAGGACTGGAGTTTACAATTTTTAAAAGAATTCAGGGTGGACCTCATTGAAAGTGTGACATTTGATTGCACAGATTAAAGGTGGAGGGAAGCAAGCCATTCAGGTATCTGGGGAAACAGCGTCCAGGCAGAGGGAACTTGTTTGATAACATATGCATACTCCCAGCAGGCATGTCTGGGGAGGGCGCGTGTACCTGAGCGTGTCTAGCTGGCCTTGTGCAAGGTGCATGTGCTCCCTGCTGCCCATATGCAGCCTACACGGGTGTGAGAAGCAGGAGAGAGCGAGACAGCAGTTCTCAGTAACACTACCATTTCTAAAGTGTTTTGCTCCAGGCCAAAACTACGCTAAGGTCTTCCCCATCATTACCTCTCATTTCATCTTCACAACTCCACGAGAGAAGAGCAAGGGTCATCTCCATGTTACAGACCAAGAAACTAACGCCAGAGAGGTCAGAGAAGTTTGTTTAACTCCAAAGCCATTGCCGTTAAAGCCCGCACCTTCCTGCCCCTGCACTGACTTCCCACAGATAAGCATGACAGCATGTCTCCTACACAAGTGTGTGACAGAGATAAGTTTGTATTTCTGTGGCATTTGCCATTTTATGTCTATGGCAGAGTGTCGCAGTGTGACAAGATGTGTATTTTCTTGATGTACATGTGACAACAGCCATGACTTGGGAGTACATCAGAGGCCTGTGGTGAAGACATACCTGTGGGTATGTTTGGGGGTGGTGCAGTAGGTGTGATAAAAACATTGATTCAGTGACTGTCACTTTTCTCGTGGACAATTCCTGAAACCATCTAAGATGCCAGGACAAGCAGCAATCAAGAACTGTACATGAGCCAGCCAGAGAGGGGAAGGGTGAGGAAGGAAAGGCGCTGGCCCCCACCCTCCACCACCAGCCCAACAGTGCTTTCCGAGCGACAGTCCACCCACCCCTGACCACAGCAGGTGGGGGAGCTCCAGCAGAGAGAGAAGCATTGCTGTGAACATTAAGGAACAGGAGATACAGTCCTGCCACCACCCCAAGCACTATTGGCCCTCTGGTCCCACTATGCACCCTACTCCCTGCTCTGTGCCCTTAGGAGGGCGACCTCTAGGGACTTCACATCAATGACTCCCTTGTTCCCTGCCTTCCTGTTGGGTTTGGCCAATGAGAGGCCCCAGCAGGAAATTGGAGTAAATTGGGTGTTTATTCCCTTGTTCCATCCCCACCAGGTTGTCGTGGCTGGCTATATCTCTCAATCAAAGGCTGCTGTTCTTGTCAGGGACCCTCTCCACCACAGCTGCACACTCAGCCCTTTGCCCTTCCCTCCCCTCCCCTGCCCCTTTTTAGGCCCAGGAGAGGTAAAGCCTTCCCACTCTTGCTAGCCCCTGAGAGCTGTACGACATGTTAGTTTCTTAAGCCCACATTTTTGGAAACAGCCCCTTTTAAATCTCCTCCCAGCATGAGGGTGCCCTGTCTCCTGCTGGGACCCTGACTGACAGGCCCACACGGTCACCAGCACAGTCCCGTTGCCATGTTAACACAAACATGCACGACCTCCCTCCTGGTCACACGGTCTTACACGTGCATCCCCTAACTTCCTCATCACAGCCTCAATCAGGGAAGACTTCCTGGAGAGGGTCAGCTTTGAACCAAGTCAAGGGAGAAATCAGTTTGCAAATCAGTCAACAATCCCAGGATTGCCAAATGAAACTAAACAGAATATGCTCGAGGAACTGCCACCTTACAGAGTGGTGACAGACACACAAAAGAAAGGAGGCGAGGACACTGGCAAAGTAAACCTCAAAACCACATGTGTTTGTGCCGCATTATTGAAATTTATTCTTCCTGCCTGTATGAATCAGGGGATTGACTCAGTACACACTCATTCTGCAGAATTCTACAAGTTCTGGATTGTATGTGAGTAAATATGGCCCCCTTCTATTATCCGGATATTTGAATAAGTGTGGTTCCTTCGCTCATATCTAACTTTGCTTAGAATTTTGACGTGGCCACTACCTCTTTCTGAGAAAGAGGTGTCCCCCCAGGAGCCAGAGCTGGTCACCTGCGGGCCACAGGCATGCTCCCACAGGGACAGGGCAAAGGCAATGAATGAGGAAGACGGATTTCTCAAACCGGTTTCCCTCAAACAGGTCTCCAAGCTGTTAGACTGAGAAGCAATGGCAGCTACCAAGCTGTGTTGTGACTTAAGAACAATGACTATATTTTAAAAGAAATCCTTTCCACTTTTATATTGGAAATGTTCACCGCACTCTTAAAGAACCTGACTGTGTCTCACGGACCTGTAGGAACACTTCTGATTACATAGCATAAGCCAGAGTTGAATGCGGCACACATCAAGAAACGCATGGTACACGCAACTTCCCCAGATCCCAGCCCTTCGCCTCTGTTAAAACAAAGGGCTCGTGTGAAGTTGTGTAGGGTCGACTGCAGAAGTCTTCCTGGAGGAGGTGCTCAGGGAAGGAACAGAATCCAGGAGTTCAGATCCATAGAGTGCAGGCTCTGAGTTACTGGGAGGAGCTGGAGAGAACAATTTCGAGAGCTTCAATTACCTCTTTCCCACAGCCGCCCAGCCAAACCCCAACACTTCAACCTCTACCTCCTTAAGAGGGGCCATTATGGAGGGAAGGTGCTGAGGCAATATTATGGATCTGGGCCCCGCTGACCCCCACCCCAGAAGAGGTGGGGGCTCCTCGGGTAAGCAGAGGTTCTCTTGGGCCTTTGTCCTTGGCCGGGATCCCCACTGGTCTGAGCAGCAGGAATGGAATGTTCCTGGGATGAAAGCCTGCTTCTTCCTCCACCTCTCCCCTTATGGAATTCCCCAGGCCCATGGTGAGGGGAGAGGGGGCCTTTCCAGGGATTCCTGATATGGCGATGCTCTGGAGAAGCCAAGGCCCACACTGCCCGGGGACTATGTCCTGGCAGCCTCTCCTAGGCTGGGCAGATCTGCTCCGTTACACATCTGCAGGCCTCCACTATGTGCTAGGCACTGAGCGTGACCTCTCATCTAATACTCAGAAGCTATTTCCTCCCCAGCTGCCCAAAACACGTATGTACACACACACATACAGAAAAGAAACTGGTTTAAGGGAGAAGGTAAGTTATTTGCCCAAGGTCTCCCAGCTGAGAAGTTCCAGGCCAGGCCAGAATCCCAGGTTTGTTTTGTTGCCAGCCTGGGGTACTTTATGCCCCACCGTGTAGCCCATCACCCTGCTCCTCTGCCACCCCAGGCTCTTGGCTCTCTTTGACACCAAGCATTGCAGCCCAGGTGTGCAGGGAGGAGGCAGCCCTCTGAGGCAACTGTAGGCCCTCAATGTCGTTGGCCTGCCCTTGCCTGAAACCAGGTGGGCTGACTCAGCCTGACTCACCAACCCCCTTCCCCCCAACAACCAGGCTGGGGAGCCAGCCTCTGGGGGTGTGCCCAGACCTTGGGGAGTAGCACCTTCTGTTACCCCTCCAACATCTTATCACATCACTCCCAGAACCAAGGACCGGGGATCACTGGACCCACATATCAAAGTGAGAGCCCAGAAATCCCCCACATTCACCTTATAAATGAAAAGTCACATAGCCAAATATTTAATGGCTCTCTCACAGGTTCCATGTCCTTAGATGAGTCACCTGTTCTTCCTGATCCTGTTTCCTCATTTGTGGAAATAAGAATAACCCCTATGAATAGCTGGGAGGATTGAAACAGATAATGGGTGTAAAGTGCTTAGCCCAGTGCCTGGCATGGAGGAGGTGGTTTATATATTATTCCAGAGCCAAAGATTCCCTTCCCCCACGACTCCTGGCCCGGTGCGGCTGGCTGGTCAGGACTAATGCAGGGAGAAATAGGCTGGGGATCTCCCAGCTTTCCCAAGTACCTCCTTTCCTGCTGCCTGTAAAGAGCCTAACCTTCAGCTCTGAGAAGCCTGGGCCCCTGGATTTTCCTCCATTGCTGACTGTCAGTGAAGAGGAGACTCCTGGAGACTTGGAACACCTGAGCCAAGACCCGTTGCTTCAACCTGATCTCTAGGAAGCCACCTTGGTGCCCAGGTGGCAGTGTTCCGGTCATTTATCGGTGTAACAAATCTGTGAGAAGCCAAACAACCCTGGGCTTTTACTTTTACTCAAATGGTGATCACCAAGCGGGGCAGCCTCTTTCCAAGAAGTGTCCTGATGGACCTGCTCACCAGGCCCAGGGACCAGGCCAACCAGAGTGCTTCCTTTGAGCCCCCTGTTTAAGTGACCCACCCTAATCAACTTTCTGCCAAACATTTAAAGCTCAGGGCCTGGGACGCCCTACCACTGCCAGGAAGAGGCTGGTTGGGGGCAGGGATACTAGAAGCCCAGCTGCTCCAGGCAGCGCCCAGTGCCCCAGGAAGCAGCCCCACACTGCCCTCTGGTGGTGCCACCCAGATATTGGAGAGATACCTTCTCTGGACTGAGAGCCAAGAGAGGGAAGGGGCTCATCCAAGGATCAACAGGCCCCAGACTAGAACCCTGAACTGGTTCCCCAGCCCCAGGCACTAACCTGAAGAGAGGCTCCTGTTTGCTCATTTCCCTTTGCCGGGATCCCAGATTCACTGGTGGCCATCAATAGCCTCAGTGCACAGGTCCAGTCCCCAGGGCTAGGGGCCACCGAGAAAGTGTTCAGGAAGTCACAGGTGGGGACAGGGGTCAGTTTTCTGCCCAGGGACTCTAATTATTTGTGAAGGCCTAAAAACAGCCCTCCCACAACACGAACTGCCCAGCTCCTGGAAGGTCCCCTGGGACAGTGGCTGTCCGGAAAGGCTGCCTTGAGGAGAGCCAGGAGACGCAAACCCTTAAAAGCAGAGACCCCCCTGACACAGTGCTGCTTCTTGAATCCCTGAACTAGGTAGATATCAACATTGTGTTGGTTGAGGAGAAAACGGAACCTCCTAGAGGGGGGCTGAAGGGTAGCAGGCAGAGCACTGAACCAAGAGCTGGGGTGCGAGCCACTGAGTGCTGTGTGCCTGGCCGAAGCCCTCACTGAGAAGCAGTGGGACATCTGGAAGTGAAGGGCACAGAGCTGCTGTGACATCAGGACCAATTTCCATTTCCTATACACACATTCCATTTTCTCTGCCAAGAGTCATCTCTAATTCCTCACCCCCGCCTCCAAATCAGGACAAAGCTGATTACCAATAAATCCCAGAGAAGGCAAAATTTTGCTGGCGCAGAGCACTTTACACCATTAGCTAAAAGCTTCTCTGGACAAAGTGCCCCTCTTCCATGAAACCCAGAAAACAAACAGTTCTGGCTGCAGCCTAACACTGCACTGAAACTCCTCACTGTGCCCCCCTCCAAGAAGTCCTTGTCCTGTCTGGGCCCCTGGACCCAAATGACCCTATCAGCTTCAGAAGGTTCTTCTCTCTGGGGAGGCCAGAGGACACCAGGGCTACCCACTGCTTTCCTGGTCCCCAAGCTCTCCTCAGTCTCTGAGACCTCCTCCTGGATTTCCGTTCCCCAGCTAAGAATGGGTTCAGGAAGGTCCAGCTGTTTGCTGAGAAACCAGCTGAAAAGTTTAGTACCTGGGGAGAGAAAGAGCTGATGGGGGGCAGTCAGGGGAGGGCCCCTGGGCTTTGCCTTTCAGAGCAGTACAGCGGACCCTCAGGACCCTGGGACTAAACCAGATTCCCTTGACTCTGCATTCTCATCCTACCCCCTCCTCCCTGTTTCCAAGCCCTGACATGAGGGGGGACAGCTATGTTCAGAGAGAGACTGAGGAAACCGGCCCAAAGAGGGGGAGGAGTTGTTCTACGTCACACAGCAGACAAGTTGGACATCAGCTCTCTCTAGCCCCTGGCCTTGGGCAGGGAAGAGACACTAAGAGAAGGCCTGGGATCTAGTCACCTTTGCTGGTACATGACCTTGCCACTCTGCAAAATGAGGGCTTTAAATTAGCTTCTGGCTCCACCGGCAAAAACACTGCCTCTTCTAAGTGTGATTTAATAGAAAATATTCTTCCATAACTTATGCGGGAAGAAGAGAGATCTCTGCCCTGTGTCAACCTCACTACGGCCCTTCCAGGAGGTGCAGATACCCACTTCACAGACAGAAAAGGTGGCAGTCAACTCAGCTGGTGAGCAGCAAAGCAGCAGAGAGGCCTTCACAGCTGAGTGGGGGCGGAGGAGGGGAGCCTGAGGGCATGTGGACAGGAAAAGAAGAAGATCTCATTTCAGGTCTGGCCCTTTAAGGCCCCCCTTTCTAGAAGCCAATGACATACCTGCCCCCTTGGAGCCTGTTAAAAGATGTCACCTGGCTCCATCCCTGGCAGAGCCATTTTAGAGACAGGTTGGGAGGGGGTCCCCTAGGAGAGCAGGTGAGGCTTCAGGCAGTTGCCAAATACTGGTTATCTAAGTCAGGCTGTACTCTGAGCAAAGCTGCATGAGAAAAAAATTCTTAAGGCCTTCCTACATGTGGAAGGCCCTAAGTATAAGTATTATGGGAGGTGGAGTGGGGAGGGGAGATCCTCAGTCTCTCCAGGATTCCATCTCCTCAAATGGGAAACAGGGTCTTATTAGAGAACTCAGAGGTACATTTCTCTACCAGCCTCCACGCCATCTTGGGACCTCATTATTCTGTCAGCCCAAAGGTATGGAGGTAGGTGGTGCCAGAAAACCGCAGCCTCAAGGGCAAGACTCTTCTTACAGCCCCAAGGGACTCAGGAAAGTCAACGCGGGTACGCGGAGGGAGGAGGGATGCTGCGTCAGTGCAGCAGGATCCAACTGGTAAAAGTTTGCTGGCAAACCCTCCTGAGGTCTAAGCACCCTCAATTTGTCCAACTCTACAATGGGGAATTGGTGCTACCGCCTCACTTCCCAGGAGGTCTGGGAAAGGCAGCAACAGAAAATAGACAGCTTTATTAGGGACCCAGCAAACTCCACAAGCCCCAAGGAAGGGAGATCCTGGTCCCTGCACCACCCCTCTCCTCCCCCTGGATGCACCAGCCCCTAAGACCGCACCTCAGCCTACTTTACTGGTCCCCCGGCCCCCCGACTGTCTCTTCCTGTGGTCGATCAGTCCATCCATCCGCGTTGGTGACGCCGTTCATCCAGCTGACGTCCTCAATCCTTCGTCGTGACACCTCTGTGACAGCCTGTTGGGGGTAGCCAGGGGTCGCGGCGCTGAGGTCAGCGCTGGGGGGAGGCGGGGCCGCGGGGCGGACTTCGGCGGAAGGGCGAGTCCGGCTCTGGGCCGTGGCCCCGCCGCAGGCGTCCAGTACCCCAGGGTACGCAGCTACCCAGACCCAACGCCGAGGCGAGCAGCGCGGGCGGGCGGCCGCGGCGACCGCGACGCGAGCCCTTCTTGAGACGCGACCCGTGCGCCGCCAGGTAGAGCTCGGCCTGGGCCACGCCACCGCCCAGGCGGCCCAGGCTCTCAGCGCGGTGCGCCAGGCGCAGCTCGGCCGCCAAGAAGACGCGGTGAAGCTGCAGCACGCGGCTTTCCAGCTCCGACACTAGGCGCCGGCGGCCCTCTACCTCCAGCAGTCGCCGACGCGCTTCGGCCAGCTCCAGTGCGCGGCCCCCCGCCCCCGCCGCGCCCCGGCCGCCGCCCGCGCCCCCTGCCAGCCCGGTGCCCCCAGCACCCCCGTCAGCGCTCTGGCGCCAGCGCTGCAGCTCTGGCCCCTCGGCCAAGCCCACCGACGCGGGGGTCGCCTCTGGCAGAGACGAGGCCTGAGTTGGGGTAGGGGTCGGGGTCAAGGTCGGGGTTGGGGGCGGGGGCTGAGGGGATGGCAGGGGCTCCCGGGGCGGCAGCGGCGGAGACCCGGGTTCCGCCGCCCCTTCCTGGGTCCCGGGGCCGCAGGCGCTGATGCGGCAGCCCGGCATCCCCCGCCCCCCTGGCGGTCAGCAGCGCGATGTCCGCAGGTTTGTTCAGCGGCACCAGCGCAGAGGAGGATGGACACGAACGACGCAAGAAATGTGGCCGCAACCCCCGCACCAGCGCCTAACCAGCGGCCAGTGCCTCTTATGGAAGATGGGGCGGAGCGATAGACAGCACAGCCAATCAAAGGCTGACATGCCCTGACACCGCCTCCTCTGCCCCGCCTGTTCAGGACGTTGCCCACACCCTTCAGGTCCTTCGATCCGCTCTGCTAGGACAACCCATCTCCATCCAACTCGCCCCCCCCCCCCGCAATTTTCGGTGGAAGGAGGACCGCATCTTCACTGGTTTGGCCCCTATCATAAGCTCCGGTAGCTAGTGGGTAGAAATCGTGGACTCCAGTCTCCACCTGGGGAGGGTTTTGCCTGAGGCCCTGTGACAGTGAAAGCCTGGACCAGAACTCAGGAGGCTTAACTCCTTGCACAGTGCCCCTTCCCCCAGCGCACACCCCTTGGTCCAACCGGTTCTGCCCGGTCTCCTAGGCCACAAGGCTCACCAAAAACCCCTTCTCCAGTCTCCCCGGGTGTGGAGTAATTCAGGACATGGCCCATCCAGGACCTCAGAGAACAGATGGCTGGCTGCCTGGCCAGCAGCCATAAGGAACGAAGAAAACAGTCTGTATCTGGATGTCCCAGCCCTCTCGAGGCCCCTGGGTCTCAAGGCTCCTGTGTTTATCACAAAAGGGTAGATTTTTCACATGCTACTCCGTCCCTAACCCTATAAGTAGCACCAAGGCTGGGTGCAGGGTGCAGCCCTTCTCACGCCCATCCACTGCCATTGGTGCACTCCCTTGTAACGTGAATAATAAACGGCATGTTCACAGCATCCACACTGTTGGTCCTCTGGGTGGGTTTTCCGGAATATCATGAACACAAGTGCAGCTCCCCAGTTTGGAGCTCCGGTGTTACCCTGGGGCAGTGTAGAGGTTGACACAGGGGCGCCCAGCATCCTGGTGGGGATCTGATCTGGTCGGTGCCCCACCAGGCAGGCCTTTTGCATGCGGAAGGAAGTATAGGACTGCCACTGAGTCTGGCCCAACTTTTACAAAACTTGAGGGATCCCCCAAAGGAGCCCCAGACCGCATGGCGTGCAAAATTCTTTTCATGCCCTTGCTCCTGTTTGTTTGCCCCTCCTAGTGGATGTCCCCATTCTTTACCTAGAGGGGAAACACACCCAGGAGGTAGCAGTGGTGCCTTCCTCGGGGTCACATTGCAGGTCTGTTGCTGAATGGGACCACTGAATGGGACCAGCTCAGTCATTCATGCCCTCTGGAGGTTCAGATACCTGGGTCTGCTCACTGTCGTTGGGGAGGACCTTAACTGGGACCTTGTCAACCTGGCAAAATGACAGAATGGAGCCCTCCCCATTTTCCCCACAACAGAAATGACCCTGCCATGCCTTCTCCAAATACTGGCCCAGACAACAGGGCCCCACCTCAGCTTCCATCCCTTTGGATGTGCTGTCAGAGATGAGAGAGGTCTCTGTGACGGGTGGGGCAAATGCTGGAGGGGCAGGCGCTGGAGGGCCAGAAACTAGTTCATACCAGTTGGGAACTGCAGCCAACCCTGGGCTTGGGGGGACATGCCAAAAGTGGCCAGTATGATTGCTGCCTCAACCTGAAGAGGAAGCAGATGGGGGAGCTGCACTCGCTTGATGTGGAGGAGGAGGACAAGGATGAAGCCTCCCCTGCATGTGCTCTAAGTGCTTTCAGGTACACTTAGATTGAGTGATTGGGACTCGTGGGTGAGCCAGCTGGGCTCCTGAGAGGCAGCTCAGAAGAGGAGGGAGAGATCCAAGAAGGGGCCTGGCTCAGCGAAGAAGGGAGGAAGACTTTGAAGGAGGGCCTGACAGGGAGAGTGTTCAGTGACCAGGAGTGGTGGAGGCTCAGCAGAGGGGGGGGGCTCAGTAAGGGCAAGACTTGGGGGTTCACTGACTGTGAAGGGCTAAGGGAGTGGGGAGGAGATTCATGGGTGCATTGGTAATAGAAGAGGCTCACAGAGTGAGGAGAAGGGAAATTTAGTGACAGAGATAAGGCCTCAGGGAGTCAGAGAGGCTCAATGGGGATGATGGAGGCTCAGGAATTAGCAGGTTGCCCCCAGCAAGGAGGGATGCCCTGCTTAACGGTGTTGTTCCTTTGAATGGTCTCCTTCGTGTCATCAAACCCTGTGTCTTTCTCTGTGCAGATGACTCCCCGACACCCCATCATCATCATCACTGTGGCGAGATTGGCAGAGGTTTTGCCCGAAGTAGGTGGATCACTGCTGCCAACTTCTGGAGATAAGTAAGGGGAACAAAACTAGGACTTACCCACCATCAGCCAGAACCAGAGAATCAGCCAGATCCGAGTTCACATCGCACACAGGGCCCACCTGAGTGACCTTGGAAAAGTCATTTCTCTAAGTAGGAGGAGATAACCTATTTTTATTGAACGAATAAATGTTCTCTCTCTCCTCCCAACATACAGAAGAAGGGGGCATCAGCAGTCTTTTTTTCCTGGTAAGAAACCAAAGCCCAAAGAGGTCGGTCACACAGCAGATAAGTGACCACGCAAGAATTCAAACACAGATCTGACCCAGTCCAAAGCCACAGTTCACCGCCCTATTATTCTCCAATATGTCCCCTCTTCCTATCCTCTATGATATTTTCCACAAGATGGAAATATAGATATATACGTATATCTATATCTGTATTTGCTTGTTTAGTTATTTAATAGTCTCTCACCCTAAACTGGTTTTGCTTATCATTAGACTCCCCTGAAGTTAAATAGAATGTCCCCATAAAGCACCCAATAAACATTTGAATTAAAAAATAATGCAAGGGTAGATAGAGCTTGTTGAGAACAGAGAAGTCCCCTTCTTTATTCATTCATTTCTTAGTTCACTTATTCGACAAATTTGATCATTATCTTTTCTTTTGGGCTGGCTGCTGAAAGTACAGCCCAAATGGTCAGATGGGGCCCTGCCCTCAGGGAGCATGCAGTGTAGGGGGGACACACACATGCAATAGCAGTTCAGTGGGGTCTCTACTGGGATAGGGCAAAACAGAGGCTCTGGGAACACAAGGCAGAGAGTGAGCCCAATCAGATGGGGAGGGGGTCAGGGAGAGTCCCCTGCACATGCTGTTTAAACTGAGACCTGAAGGATGAATCAAAGTAGGTGACGCAGATATGATGGGGGGTGGAAAAGTAGAAGGACTCAGGATGGGAACACTGTGTGCGCAGGACCAGGGTGAGAGCTTGGGCACCTGCCAGCTTCCTTCCTGCCTCCCTTAATGGCCCTGGGCTCTGCACTCCCAGAAGTGGACAGGGGACTACAGCCAACCATCTCTTAGTACACAGCCAGCCTGGCAAACACAATATTTGGAATTAGGAAGTACATATTTAGACGGTAATTACCATTGTTTTTTTTCTGAGCATTATAAGTTATACATTCCTCCTAATGTAGCAAAGGTGAAAAACGTAGAAAATATTAAGATTTTTAAAATAGGGCCCTGGCTGGTGTGGCTCAGTGGATTGAGCACCGGCCTGTGAACCAAAAGGTCGCCGGGTGGATTCCCAGTCAGGACACACGCCTGGGTTGTGGGCTCGAGAGGCAACTGATTGATGTATTTCTCAAACATTGATGTTTCTCTCACTTCCTTCCCCTAACTCTAAAAAATAAAAAATAAAATAAAAATATAGAGAAGGAAGGCATCTGGAATTAGAGAGACTTGAGTCTGAATTGAAGCTCCGTCCTTTTCTAGCTGGGCAACCCTAAGAAAGGCATGTTTTCTCTCTGATCTTCAGGGTCTAAGGAATGGAACTGTTAATACCTATGACACAGACAAGGGCATGGATGGATAGAAGAATTTGTCCAAGGTTTCGGAAGCTGATAATATCTGTCCTCCATCTCAGCCAGAGACACTGAAAGAGAAGAGGCAGCCCAAGAGGGACCCGATTCCAGAGTCCTGTCCATTATCTACACACCCAGCCAGCAGAGGCAGAGCCTACGGTGGGAGGGTGTGGCTGTGACCCAAATCAGGATCCCCCTCCATCAGCCGGAAGTGGGATGGGGCAGGAGGTCAAGGCCTGAAAAGGCTACTTCCATCCCACAGCCTAGAAGATTCAAGGCCTCTGCTAAGAGATCCAACCCCTCCCTTTCAGTATCTTCCCTGCAACCTGATCTGGCACCCACTAGGATGTGATATCAGTTTAATAATTTAGCAGATGCAGACAAAGATAGCAGCTCTGAAAATAACCCAGCGAGGCCCAGCCTCCATCTCCTCTTTCCAAGGCTTCTGGTTGCCCCTACACCTGCCACTGCCCCTGCCCACCAGTGGGCACCTCACCTCCTTTTTCTTATTCTAGTCCTTCTCCTCCTCCACTCTCCTCCTCACCTCTGCTTTCTCTCAATTCTCATATTAAGAGCTTTTATATTAATTAGAGCTTAAAAGACTCGTGCTGGAAGTCAGAAGCTTGAGTTTAATTCATTATGTGCACTGAGCAAATGCCTTCTGAGCCTCTCTTTCTGCTTTTATACAAGGAGGCCTCTGGATTCCTAAGTGTGGCAGAAACAAAATGTTTGGGTGGCGGCAGTTACTTGGCCGGGGGACTGGATGTCGTTCCCAGGAGGGCCCAGCTGCCATGGCATTGCTGTCCCCGCCAGCAGCACTGCAAGCCATCCTGCTGCTCCATCCCGAGAGCTCACAGGTTCTCTTTGTTTTTGACTTCTCTTGTGATGAAAATTTTGTCCTGGTTATTATTCTTAGAATAATAAGCTGTGCGTGACTTGCGTTCACAATGCATGCAGCAGGTGTCACGTGCTTTTGGTGCTTCATCACATTTCTGACAGGTAGAAATTTTACTTTCCTCTGGGAAGTTGGGAAGAGCAATACCCCTCCCCCCTTGATGGGTCTTTGCCCAAACCTTTATGGGTCTCAGTTTTGACATCTCTAAAGAGGCCAGGTGTTGAAGGGTAAGCAGAACAAGGTAAATAAGACTGTACAGCCTCTAGAGTTTAAGCTCCAAAAGGGTGAGATCACTTCTGTTTTCATGCATTTATTCAACAACAGAATTCAGCACTCACTGTG